ACAGAAGTTACAATGATGCGACTCACGTGCACTCATGTTACCATACCAAATAACATAAAACTGGCCTTTGGTCTGTGCAAAGTAATTTGTCTTGGCTGTGTTTTAGTAGACTGGTATATTGTAAAATACAGTCACATTTCAATTATTATACATTATATATGTATATAGATTATTGATATTTTAAAAATAAGTTCTTAAACATATTTTCTCTAAAACATAGAACAGTAAATAAAGAAGTAAAGTAAACAATTATCTCTTCTAGTTATGACCTTTGTACTTTGTATTTTCTGCTTGATGTAAGTTGCTAAGCCTTTAAAATTTTGTACTTGGAGGATATGAAACAAAATATTTTTTTTATGTTTTATATATGCATTTGAATAACAAAAAATAATAAATCACTACATTAATACCATAGAATTCCAGTATCATTTATAAAGCTTAGTAACTAAGATGTATTTAGTCTAAAAAAATATGAAATTTCGAGCAGACTAAAGACACACCCTACCACACTGAAATATTGGTTCAAAAGAAAGAATGGCGCCATTCTGAGCTTCTGATTGGTTATTCATGTGATATATAGAAGTGTACATAAGGGAGCATTTCCTCTGTGTTTGATTTATTACATGAGCAATATCTCAGCAAATAGAAAAGATAAGAGGCTCTTATTTTATATTCTAGCTTAGTAATATGGGCAATTTGAGTTTTTAATTCGTACAATCCTACAAACTTAGTATTTCACTTCACAAACATCTAATCTGAACCAGTGCTGCATTCAACATACCACATGATACACAAAAATCAATGTTTAACTGTGTCTTTTTAATATTTGCTTTAAAATTAAGAAATTGAGTAATATATATAGTACTAAAATTTGAATTATAATCTACAGTTTGATACCAAAGTTATTGACATAAATTCATGAAACAGTAGTTCAATAAAATTTTGAATGCGAGTCAACAAACAAGATGACATGGCCTTTCACCCATGACCCATCTCGAAAGGGTTAGTATGGTTAAGACATGTTATAATATTCGGTTTAACAGCATTACTCATTAATGTATTTATGAGACATTATAATACAAACTGCATTTCTAATAGTGTAATTTAACCAGATTCCAGTAACAGAGAATTTGTCAAAGGTTGATATGTCTCAAAAGAAAACATTTTATTTAACCAACTTTCAGATAACTACAACTAAAATAAGAGTGGGTCAATCTATCAAACCAAAGACCACACCAAACGAACAAGTCAGCTGCCTACCCATCATTTCAAATTATAAAGTAATTAATGTAAAACAAGTGAAATAAAGAACATTCTTTCCATCACATGTACAAGTGTTCATGGTTAGGCCACGTATGGAATATTATGTTCAGTCTTACCTTCGGAAAGACATTGAATTGTTGAAAAGGGTTCAGAGTAGGGCTACTAGGGACTGATGGAAAAGTTGTCATATGACGACAGGATAATATCTCTGAAATTTTTTTCTTTTGAAAAAAAGAAGAATTAAAGGGGATCTGATTGAGGTGTTAAGGGAATTGATAGTGTCAATGCATCATACTTAATGGTGAGAATGGTAGGAATAGGGGACATAAATATAAATTTTGCCAGGATAGGAATTATCTTCAGCTAAGACAGTTTTATTTTTTATCTAAAGGGTGGTTGGTCTTTGGAACAGCTTGCTTTCAGATGTGGTGGATGTAGATAAGGGAATTTAATCAAAGGCTTCATAAATATTTGAATAATAATGGTTAGATTCGAATGTTTTTTTTAAAACATTTAGCTTAGTTTAATGGATGGGATGGCAGAGATGGACCAACAGTTCCCTTATTGTCCGAAAATTTTATTTAAGTTGTACTTTCACAGAAAAAAGATTTCTTTCATAAACTGATGAGTAAAACTAAACACTACAGAAAAGTCTTGTATTGAAATACCTTGTGTCACCAGTATCCTTCTTGAATGCAAATCCAAAGATTGCTATTTTTTTATCTGTAACTGTATTGAAGAGTTTTTCAGTAATTCTTCGAACAAATCGAGTCCTTTGAAACTGGTTCATTTCAATGACCTGTTTAAAGACACAAAAGTAAAAAAAATTGATGTGAAGTGATTGTTTTAAATAAGAACAAACTGGCATTATTACTGAGATATAAAAATGTTAGTTTTACAATGCTAAATGTTTTAATTTAGTTGTTTGCTAGAAAGAACTATTAACAACATGATGATGCTAGATTTAGAAAATTTAAATAGTAGTCCAAGAATATCTAGAACATTTGTGAATGTTACTGATTAAGATACTTTGTAAAATACCTAAAAACAAGAATATATACTATAAATATGAGAATCAGTGAAACATTGTTAGTTTTCAGTTAATTTACTGGATGAGAAGTTAATAAAGTATTCATACCGATGTTAGTTATTATGTATATTCGGTTACTCAAACAATTAACCATGAAATTCTACAAGTACGTTTATGGGTACAATAACCAAAGTACAATTAGTGAATAGATTTCTGTTGAAAGTGAAATGTTATTTCTGAATTTAGGCCTACAGCTGTGTACAAGTGATAATAGCCTGTGACAAATATTAAGGAAGAAATAAACTAATTTATTATTGTTACATGGACTTGATGTGCCCTTATTTTCACTAAATAATTTGAAAGAACTCACCAAGTGATAGAACTAACAGCACACATTAAAAATTTACTTTTATGCTCAAAACAGGTAAAACATAGTTTTACTTGAAAGGCACTATTAATATACTGCATCTGTTAAAACATCATCCAAAAATCTTCCTATACAAAAGGTGTCTATTGTTGAATATCTGCTTGTTTGTTAATTTCCAGTATAAATTCTTTCGTAGGAACTTCAGTGATACAAGTCCCTTCTTGATTAAAACTAGTTTATTCTTTCTCGATACAACTTTGTAATACACAGAATTTCCACAGTCACTTTAAACTTAACAACCTTTATAACACACGCTATAAGTCACAGTGGTTCACACACTTTACTTACGGTGCCTACTGTTCGCTTGACTCAATTATCTATATCTTCAGTCTATCTGCATATCTATCTATCTATGCAATCCCACTGGTTTTTCTCACCAGGCTTATATACTAAAAAAGTGGGTGCCTCGAACAAACTAGAGTTGCCAGGAAAATTCATGACCCTTCCAGAAACTCCAGTGTGCATGCTCCCAGCATCGTGTGACTTCCGCTGTCGTAACACTGCCCCTTCCTTAGTATTGTTCATCACAAACAATAGCCACTTACA